GATAAACCCCTCCCCACCACACCACAGCTTCTGCCACTGCCACTCAAGTCAGAAGTGTAAGTGAAGTCAAGAATGACTCTATTATTCATTGGAATAACAGAACCATATGTGGGCTACACACTTAGGCCACGTGCAGTGGGCACTGCTATTTTGGTCCATCCAGCACCCACTCCCTCTACTTCTTGTAAAATACTGAAGTTCCTTTCCAAAACCATTTCTTAAGCTTTCTAAGTGGCCCAGGGGTACTGGATAACTCTATCCTACTTCCCACCACCCACCAAGCCTGGCCAACCATAGCATTCTTTTGATCGCAGAGATGTAATTAGGGATAGGCCCAAGACCCAATCAAAGTTCATCTTTGAACTTTTGCTGGAGCTACCAGGAAAGAACTTTTTCTCTTCTCGTTATCTTATCAGTAGGAAAAGGGACATTACCTGACAAGAGATAGCCAAAGAGAAAGGCCTTGGAGATGCTGCCTGAGGCCCTGTATCCAGGTGTGTCTGGGGCCATATTTACTCTTGAACTTCCCAACTAGGAGAGCTATAAATGTCCCCTCCAGTTTTTTCCTGCTTAAGCCAGTCTTGTCTTTTTTTCACTTGCTAGTGATTTTTGTCTTGTACACAAAGATGAAGTAAGATCATACATAACTTTTTTGTGTAACTTCTCCTTTTTCTTCTTTCCTCTCCTCAGCCCTAACATTAAAAGCTAAAGGCTCTTGTTCTGAGTCCCTTCTAATAAAATAAAATAAAATAAAATAAAATAAAATAAAATAAAATAAAATAAAATAAAATAAGCTAAAGGCTCATGAGAAAGCTGGGTTAATAAGAGAAGCATGCTCTCTGGATCTGTCCACAAACTCCTGCCTTATCTATCTATACAGGGCTTATCTATCTATACCATTCTGTCACCCTCCTGCCTCTACAGACAGATACTAATCATAGATGAAATGACATACAAAGTTTCTTGCAGTTCTGAGCTATATGATTCCATTAAGCCGCAGTTGCCTCACTGTAAAGTGGGAGACGATCTCTCTCACAGGATTCTTAGGAGGATGAATAGAGCAAAAGAATACTTTACAAATGTTTCTTGAAAAAGTATGTGACCTTCTCTATTCCCAAAGCAGTTTCTCAATATTGTATCCACCATAAAAGGAAATAGGTCATTCAAGAAATTATTACAGAATGCCTAAAATGTACAAGGCACGTGGAGGATATAGAGATTAAAACATCTAAAAATGCTTCCAATGTAGAATATCAGACAACTACAAAACTAGCACTACATTAGGGCCGGGCGTGGTGGCTCACGCCTGTAATCCCAACACTTTGGGAGGCCAAGGCAGGTGGATCACGAAGTCAAGAGATCGAGACCATCCTGGCCAACATGGTAAAACCCCATCTCAACTAAAAATACAAAAATTTGCCGGGCGTGGTGGTGGATGCCTGTAGTCCCAGCTACTCGGGAGGCTGAGGCAGGAGAATCACTTGAATCCAGAAGGCAGAGGTTGCGGTGAGCCGAGATTGCGCCACTGCACTCCAGCTTGGGCGACAGAGCAAGACTCCATCTCAAAAACAAAACAAAACATAAACAAAAACAAACAAAAAAAACACTAGCACTATATTAAAGAAAATATACAAGCTGTCATCAAACAACAACAAAATAAGCTATGGGAACTGAGAGGATAGAAAAACTACTTCTTTGTAGGAGGTGGAAAGGTTTCATGGAAGAGATGGCATTCGATTGTGCCTGGATGCCCAGGGAAGCATTACCAGTCAGAAACCTCCTCAGACAGGAAATCAAGACTGACTTTATCCATATGTACAGACATGCCACCTACAATCTTAGCATCCGATGATCCTAAATGCCTTTCAAATAACTCTTCTAAAAGATAAAAGCAGACTAAAACATTTTGCTTCCTTGTTACACAATCATAAGCCATGCAGAAAACTGTTAAGATAATTTTCTCAATGAGAATTGTATTTTTATAACCAGAGGGAATACACATCAAATTTTTAAATGTCTATATTGTTTCCCAGACAATTCTAATTGCCATAACTTTCCAGTGAAATTGAAAATTTCTTGAGGGCAAAGCCCAGTGTTATTTCTCTGTGTCCCTCACCTTGCCACACACTCATTGTATGAATATACAAAAACAAAAAAAGACTTACTGAAAAAGTGTTACATTAAAAAGTGTGAACATGTCACTCCCAGATCTTAAATCACTTATGTTTCCCAGCACACACTGTGCATTTCCACAATGTGCTATGTGTTGATACTATTCTCCTTCTTGGAATGTTCTTGAATCTGAAATTCCATTCCCAGCTCCTACAAATATTTCCTCCAAGGCCTAGCTCAAATGTGACCTTTTCTTTGAGGCACTACTTGACTTGTCCATGAAGAATGAATTCTTTCTTCCTCTCCAGGTACTCTGGCCATATTCCTCCTATAGTATTCTCACTACAGAAAAATGATGCTTACGTGTGTGTGTGTGTGTGTGTGAGAGAGAGAGAGAGAGAAAGAAACACCTACCAGAGTGTAAATGCCATGTGGGTAGTGTATGGGTCTTTTTCTGTATGCCCAGCACATAGGATGAATCTTATATAACAAGTGTTATACAGTAATGTACCAAATAAACATTTGTTGAATTAAACCAAATAAACAGAAAACAAAGAGAGAAAAAAAAAAAAAAAAAAAAGCAGAACCACCACTATGATCATTTACTTCTCCTGAAATATTGGAGTTCCTGAATTTAGAATAAATGGCAAAGTGTCAGAATTAGACCAAAGTCATCTGCACATGAACTAAGACATTTGCAACAAGACTACTTCAGGTTCAGTCATTAGGTTGTGCCCTTGAAGGCTTGAAGGTATATTCTCATCAACCACTAATTTGTTAATAAATTGAGATGCCCCTAAACAGTGTAGAAAGCAGACTATAAGAACTGGCCAAAGATGACCCATACAGCATCAATCAAGACACAAAACCACTCTATAGGGATGAAAAATGTACATCTTGTAAACATAATCCAAAAGATTCTAGCATCCACATCCATTCTGGAACCCATAGGAAAATAGAATGTTTAAAAATGAGAAATGTTCAGGGCTTGCCAGAGAAATCTAGACAAAATTATGAGACAGACCAATGCATATATGCAAATGAGATGGCTCCCTATTAAAAAATAGATAAACAGATGTAAGGATTTCTCCTTAGAAAGAGGGAGAGATTGGCCAGGCGCAGTGGCACACGTCTGTAATCCCAGCACTTTGGGAGGCTGAGGCAGGCAGATCACGAGGTCAGGAGATTGAGACCATCCGGGCCAACATGGTGAAACCCCATCTCTATTTTAAAAAATACAAAAATTAGCTGGGCATGGTTGCTTGCGCCTGTAATCCCAGCTACTTGGGAGGCTGAGGCAGGAAGGAGAATCGTTTGAACCCAGGAGGTGGAGACTGCAGTGAGCGGAGATGGCGCCACTGCACTCCAGCCTGGCAACAGAGCGAGACTCTTTCTGAAAAAAAAAAAAGAAAGAAAGAGGGAGAGATTGATTATCAATCATCGGCAAGTTAGAGAGGAATTAAAATCAAGTATGGCCAATACACACTAAAACAGTAATTAGGAGTCTTCAACACACAGAAGATAAATAATGCTGCAGGGCATGCTCTAAGGGGTAACAGAAAAAAAATTAAAGACCAAAAATTATACAGGATGGAAAAACAATGAGAAGCCCATGTATCAACCTCCTACACTCTACACCTGAGAGACTAAATCATGGTCCTGACCCTATCACCCTCACAGTCCAATTGGGGAGAGACATCAGCAGAAAAACATCTTTAATAATTGTTATGTCAGAGTAAACACATACTACTGAGGCAGGATATGGAAATACTGAAGGAGAGAGAAAGAGAGGCGGTCAGGTAAAACCTGCTGTGGATGTTACCTCTCACCTAAGCCCTAAATATTAGTCAGGATTAACCCAAAGAAAAGAAAAATGGAATGGGAAAAGGATAGGGTCCGCTAAGTAAACGAGAAGGAGCACTGGTTTAAGAGTCAGAACACCTGACTTCTAGTTCCATAAATTGTTTTGACAACACATCAACATGCAAAATACCGGGCAGACAGAACGAAGTAATGGTTTTTTGTTTTTTCTTTTTTTTTTCCGAGATGGAGTCTTGCTCTGTCGCCCAGGCTGGAGTGCAGCGGCACGATCTCGGCTCACTGCAACCTCTGCCTCCCAGGTTCAAGCAATTATCCTGCCTCGGCCTCCCGAGTAGCTGGGATTACAGGCGCCCGCCACCACGTCCAGCTAATTCTTGTATTTTCAGTAGAGACAGGGTTTCACCATGTTGGCCAGGCTGGTCTCGAACCCCTGACCTCGTGATCCGCCCGCCTCGGACTCCCAAAGTGCTGGGATTACAGGCATGTGAGCCACCGCGCCTGGTCAGTAAGTTATTTATATATCCTGGCACCTAACACATAGGGGCGCTAAGCAAGACACAGATAAATAATAGTAATAAAACAACTACAGTTTGCTTAGTCCTTCCTATGTGCTAAAGTGCTAAGAATAGCAGGATAAACAATACAAGCCCTTGTCCTCAAGCAGAGTGTACTCGAGGAGACTACAGATAAGTAGACAACCCTGTTGAAGATACTGAGACCCAGGATCCTAATTTATTCCGTTAATAAGAGAGGAAATGGTGGTTTAAACCATAATTTGATTGACTTAAAATTCTGAGACCCTCATCAAGAGAAAAGGTTGGAGGGAAGAAGAAATAGGGGATAAAGAAGTAACAATAACCCTCAAACCAAACTCCCTAATGGTCAATTAAACGGAGTCTTCCGGTGAGGCACAGAGGAAGAACTCCTCATATGGGATCAGCAGGTGCTCGATTTGGGGTGTGGTTATAACCTTTACTTCCCTTCCTACTAGTCCCTCGCTTTGCCTACTCCAACCCGGTCCAGTAACTCAGCAGCCCCCACCCGCCTTGGAGGAATCGATGGAGCACCTTTGAGTGCGCGAGCGGCCGCTCTCCGGGTACCGGGCCCGGAGCGTTAGCCTCCCGCGAGTATCGGTGAGCGGCTCCCGAACTGCCATGGACGCCAGGCCGCTGGGGCGTGCCGCAGCCGCAAGAACCCGCAAGGGACCCCGCGCCCGCACTGGTCCCGGCCTCCTCGCTCCCTGCCGCTCCATACAGCAGCGAGAGCAGCAGCAGCAAGAGGACGCGACCCGACTCAGGGTAGCGTCCACAAACCAGCCCTGGTACGGGCGCAGCCATGTTGTCTCACGAGCCATGTGACCCGGTGGGTCACGTGGCTGAGCCCTCCTTAAAGGGGCAGAATTTTGAGCTGACACAAAGTGGCCAGGAGAGTTGTTCTTCACTTTTAGTTAGGTTCTTTTTTGGCGCTCCTGCTTGCCTGTGCTGACGTCAAAACGCAGCAAAACACAAAACTCAAGGCCTTCCACAGACCGTGCACCCCTTTATGATTTCTTGGTTGAAAAATGACAATCAAATTTGTTGAGCATTTGCGAATTGCCAGAGTACTATGCTAAGCACTTCACTTTTTAAAATCTCATTTCATCCTCACAAAGACCCTGTAATATTGTGTTCACAGAACAGTGAAGTGACTTGCCCAAGATCATGACAAATAAATATCAAAAGCAAGATTTAAAAGCAGGGAATCTAACTTTAAACCCTGAGTTTTAACCATTGTCTTGTACTGCAGACAATTAAATAAGTTCCTCCTAACAAGAAATAGAGAGGAAGATGAACATGTGTAAGGATACTTTACCAAGGGATAAGGAAATCCAGACTGTGGGATATGCAAAACAATGGTTCTCGAAGTGTCCTTCCTGAGTGCAGTATTGGCATCACCTGGGAAAGTGTTAGAAATGCAATATGGAAGTGGGGCATGGTGGCTCACTCCTGCAATCCCAGCACTTTGGGAGGCCGAGGCAGGCGGATCATAAGGTCAGGAGATCAGACCATCCTTGCTAATGAAAGGAATGAGGCACATCCCCCATATATCTCCCAACTTCCTGAACCCAGCACAAACACATTCCTCCATATTTCTTTCAAACTTCAGAAAAACATCACCTGGGAGATCTCCGATAAGGAATGCTAAATGTATAATGTTAACCAATTGTAATGCTGTAACCGAGAGAATTACCTTGTTCCCTGTAACTTTACATATCCTGTTTACATCGGGCTATGAAAAGCAAGCACTCGCATTGTTCGAGGCCCTCTTGTTTGCTGTGGAATGGAGGGACCAAGTTCGAACTTGTAGTAAAGATCCTTGCCGCTTGGCTTTGACTCTGGACTCTGGTGGTCTTCTTTGGGGAACAAACGGTCTGGGTATAACACTAACATGGTGAAACCCCTGTCTCTACTAAAAATACAAAAAATTAGCCAGGCATGGTGGGGCACGCCTGTAGTCCCAGCTACTCGGGAGGCCGAGGCAGGAGAATCGCTTGAACCCGGGAGGCGGAGGTTGCAGTGAGCCGAGATCAGGCCACTGCACTACAGCCTGGGCAACAGAGCAAGACTCTGTCTCAAAAAAAAAAAAAAAAATGCAATACGGAATCAGAATCCCTGGGGACTGGACACAGCAATCCGGGGTTTCACAAGCTCTCCAGATGATTCTAATGCACACTTAAGTTTAAGAACCACTGTTCTACAGTTTCGTAAGTGAACAAAATGCAAAAACAAAACAAAAAGAAGATTAAGGAAAAACTTACAGATTAAAAAATAACATAGCAGGCCGGGCGCGGTGGCTCACGCCTGTAATCCCAGCACTTTGGGAGGCTGAGGCGGGCAGATCATGAGATCAGGAGATCGAGACCATCCTGGCTAACACAGTGTCTCAAGAAAACAAACAAACAAAATTAGCAGCCAACTGCAATATATGAACCTTATCTAAATACTAATTCACATCTACTGATTTCAAAAATTTTGAGATCATCAGGGACTTTTGACCACTAAGGCAAATTATGATGTTTGATAAAATTAAGGAATTGCTGTAAATTTTGTTTTTATGCTTTTAGGAGTAATAATGGTATTTGTGGCTATGTTTTTTAAGATAATCCCCTCATTGAGGTATATACATGGATAAAAATATAGGCAGTCAAAGATTTGCTTCCCAAAAAAATGGGTAATTAGGGTCTGGCTAAAGATGAAGCATGATTGGCCATGAGTTGATAACTGGTCATAGCTGGTTGATACGCATCTGGGTGTTTATTGCACTATTCTAATGTAGTATATGTTTGAATTTTTTTAGCATAAAGGAAAGACCAGCCAGTCACTGTGGCTCATGCCTGTAATCCCAGCAATTTAGGAGGCCGAAGCAGGAGAATCACTAGAGACCAGGAGCTTGAGACCAACCTGGGCAACATAGCAAGACCTTGTCTCTACAAAAAATTAAGAAAATTAGCTGGCGATGGTGATGCAAACCTGTGGTCCCAGCTACTTTGGAGGCTGAGGCAGGAGGATCACTTGAGCCTGGTAGGCGGAGGCTGCAATGAGCCGTAATTGTGCCAGTGCACTCCAGCCTGGATGACAAAATGAGACCCTGTCTCAAAAAGGAAAAGGAAAGAAAAGACCCTTTCTCCTTGTTGACTGTTTTACAGTTTGCCAAGGCCTTTCACACATTTTCTCATTTGAGATTACAACCACTTGGCAAGAAATGTATTATTACTATGCCCATTTCAAAATTGATGAAGCTAAAAAGTCAATGTCTTAACCAAGGTTGTATGTATTTACTGTGCATAATATATAGTCAAGGTCTAGGTCAACAGTAATCTTTGTTCGCCTCCTTCAAATGTCAGTCTTAGCACATGCTGTGTCAGCTGCGCTTCAGAGACCTGAACTTCTTTGATTCACGGTCCAGCTACACCATTAGGCAATAACCTCCATGAAGGTAAGGCTCCTACCTATTCATTTGCCACTGTATCAGCAAAATCAGGCCAAGCCTGGCACGTGAACACTCAATGTGAACATTTATTAAATTATGGATAAGTGAATGCATGAGTGAAGTAATGATTAGCTCTTTCTCTTAAGGGGAAGCAAATCGTGGAGAAAATAATATAGGTCTTAGACTCAGAAAGAGCTGTGGTTAAAGCTGGCCACTACATGAAGTATGACCTAGGCAAATTATTTCACCTTTCTGAGCCTCTATTTCTTCATGTGTAGGAAAGGGAATTTCACAATGGGAATAATAATTCCTTTTTCTTAGAGATTTCATGGGAATTAAAAAAGACAAAGTATGTAAAAGGCCTACCTTGGTGCCTGACATTTAGCATATCTCAAAAATAAGTTTGCTATTACTAATCATTATCAAAGACGGAACTTTGTTCGTTCTCCAGGAAGATCATTCTTTTGTCTCAGTCTAACTTTTTAGTCACTAATCAATGAGTATGTGAAAAATACTGATAAGAGGTTTCTCTCATCAATATTTTCCACACTAATATTTTCCTCCTGTCAGTGAGGATGCTTGTTCTAAAACTTAAGAGTTAAAAAGTCCAACTCTGTCATTGGCTCTGTACAAATTAGTGTAATTATATAAAATATCTCCCACCCTCCATCTCTCGTTTGAGCTCCTTCTGCATTATGTAGCCTTTCTTGTTTCTTCTATCTCATGAAGCTGGATGAAAGACCCCAGTCCTGAAAGCACCTTGTCTGCTCACTGAACATCAAAGAGGTCAGCATGGCTACAGTGGAGTGAGCAAGCGGGAGAGAAAAAAAGAAAGGAGATCAGAAAGGTAACATTGGGCCAGGTTATGGAGGATCTGGTAAGCTTTTACTGTAAAAGTTGGTGCCACTGCAGTTTTGAGAAGACACCTGACACTCTTCCTGCTGAGCAGTATCAATTTTCCTTCCAGGTTAGAGGCTTCTCTTGCTTTCTGGTTCCTGAACACAGGGAATGCAAAGTGCCCTGATGGTAGCCATGGCTTGTAGTTCAATGAGATCCTTGTTGTATCCACAGAAAGAGAGCATCCCTTTGGGGATCAGGACCTCCAACTCTGCAGAGCTCAGAGTTGCAGGGATGGGAGAAAAAAAAATCCCAGTGGGTCAGTAGGAGTAATAGTAAGTGGGGCTACTTCTACTTCCACCCCTTGGTTCCTGAACCTGTATGTTCTTCCTACGTGGGGACACGTCTGACATCTCTAATTGAGTGCATATAACTGCATCCTTATAGATGGCCCCATCTTTGCAGGAAATTGCATCCAAGCTGGCATTTCAGCTGTGCCTTCAGTAAGCCATTTTCACCCTTTATGAGGCCAGCTGGTTTGGGTTCATATTGTATGAGATAATACCGTCGGATTCCATGATCATGGCCTACCCCTGCACCTCCTTCGCTGTGAAATGGGTCCCCTGGTCAGATGCCATGTGAATATATGCCTGTGCATAAGGCATTCTGAGAGCCCTCAGACAGTGATGCTGCCTGAGGCTCTTGGAGTAGGAAAGGCACAGGTCAAAATGTTATCTGCTTCGCATGTGAAGGACAGTTGGCTCCACTTTTTGGGTGTGATGAATAATGTTGATATGAACATTCATTTACAAGTTTTTGTTTGCAAATGTTTTCATTTGTCTTCATAGATACTAGAAGTGGGATTGCTGGGTCATATGGAAACTCTAACCTTTTGGGGTTTTTTGTTGCTGTTGTTGTTTTTTTTTTAAAAAAAAACAAACAAATAAACAGGATCTTGCCCTGCTACCAGGCAGGAATGCAGTGACATGATCACACCTCACTGCAGCCTCAACCTCCTGGGCTTGAGAAATCCTCCTATCTCAGCCTCCAGAGTAACTGGGATCATAGGCTGCTACCACGCCCAGGTCAGTTTATTATTTTTTTGTAAAGATGAGGTCTCACTATGTTGCCCACGCTGGTCCTGAACTCCTGGCCTCAAGTGGTCCTCCTGACTTGGCCTTCCAAAGTGCTGGAATTATAGGTGTGAGCCACCACTCCTGACCTTGTTTAACCTTCTGAGGAATTGCCAGACTTTTCCAAAGTGGCTGTACCATTTTACATTCCCACTAACAATGTATGAGGCATCCAATTTCTCCATGACGTAGTTAATTCTTCCACTTCCTTTAGAGTAAAATCTCTTCTCCTTTATCAGGCCCAGCCTACCCTCAGCCATGTTATACTGAAACTTGACCCTGGTTATAACCCGGCAGCCACAAGAGGATGTGGAGGCACTTTCTTGGAGTTGGGAGGCTGTTGTTTTTTCAGCGGAAAAAAAAAAAAAGCTCTGGTATATGCAGTATTTTCCCCATGTGGAAACTACTGGTTCTCGACAGGGAGGCTACCTCTGC